AATTAATTTATAATTAATTAATTACTGAGAAGGACCCAAAAATAAGTAAATTCTAAGGTTTGTCAATAAATAATGAAAATCATATCATTATGTAGAGTTTGACTGTCTGATTCCAACGGTTCAATCGGATTTCAATTCCGAGTGTTTCCCCTTGGGGAGCACCCGTCCTGTTTGTCAAAAAGAAAGATGGCTCGATGAGACTCTGCATCGATTACCGGCAATTGAACAAAGTCACAATCAAAAATCGATATCCTTTACCTCGTATCGATGACTTATTTGATCAGCTTAGAGGATCCACTGTATTTTCTAAGATTGACTTACGGTCAGGATACCATCAAATCCCTGTAAAGAAAGAGGACATCCCAAAGACTGCGTTCCGTACTCGTTATGGTCATTATGAGTTTACGGTAATGCCCTTTGGTTTGACCAATGCTCCAGCAGTATTCATGGATCTCATGAATAGTGTATTCCGACCTTATCTTGATCAATTCGTGGTTGTATTCATCGATGATATTCTTGTCTATTCGAAGAATCGAGAAGACCATGTGAAACATTTGGAGATAGTACTCAGCATACTACAGGAACATAAACTATATGCCAAACTGTCAAACTGTCAAACTGTCAAAGTCTAAAATACCTGCTAACTTAAAAAGAATTGAACCTGAGATAGAGAAGATGGTTAGAATTGATCAAAGACTACGACTGCTACATTGACTATCACCCTGGCAAGGCTAACGTAGTTGCTGACGCATTGAGCCGAAAGATGATAGCTGAACTCCGAGTTCAACCTACTCTTGAGAACGAAATTCATGCTGCACAAAAACGTGATGACTACTGTTTGAAGACTTGTGAACTTGTCTCTAAGGGGGAGAGACAAGATTTCACAGTAAATAATGGAATTTTATTCTACCGGAATCACTTGGTAGTTCCTAGTGGCGAAGTGAGGGAACGTTTAATGCGTGAATCTCACGAAACCACTTATACCATGCATCCTGGTAGTAATAAAATGTTCCAAGATCTGAAGAAGACATATTGGTGGCCCACAATGAAGCGGGAAATTTCTGAATTTACAACACGATGTCTAACGTGTCAACAAGTCAAGGCTGAACACCAAGTGCCTAGTGGGTTGCTACATCCACCTACTATCCCTGAATGGAAGTGGGAACGAATTACGATGGACTTTGTGATTGGACTTCCATTATCAGCTAAGAAAAATGGCGTTGTCTGGGTAATTGTTGATCGATTAACCAAGTCATCTCATTTTATCCCAATTCGACGTGATATGTCCTTGAAGAATTTGGCAGAGTTGTACATCCCTGAGATTGTAAGATTACATGGTGTACCTTTGTCTATCATTTCTGATCGTGACCCGTGATTCACATCGCAATTCTGGAAGAGTTTGCAGAAAGCCTTAGGTACTAAACTTAACTTTAGTACGGCATTTCATCCTCAAACTGACGGACAATCTGAAAGGACAATTCAAATTCTTGAAGATATGATGAGAGCATGTGTAATTAATTTTGGAAGCAACTGAGAACAATACTTACCGCTAATGGAGTTCGCGTATAACAACAGTTATCAAGCGAGTATCCAAATGGCCCCGTACGAAGCCTTGTATGGGAGACGCTGTAGAACCCCAGTATGCTGGACAGAATTAAGCGAGCAAAAGCTTGAAGGACCTGATCTCGTTCGCGAAACTGAAGAGAAGGTTCGTCTAATCAGAGAAAGATTGCAGGTGGCTTCCGATCGACAGAAATCTAACGCCCCAAAAATAGGCCTATCAGAGTTAATTAATTTATAATTAATTAATTACTGAGAAGGACCCAAAAATAAGTAAATTCTAAGGTTTGTCAATAAATAATGAAAATCATATCATTATGTAGAGTTTGACTGTCTGATTCCAACGGTTCAATTGGATTTCAATTCGGAGAAAGTTGGACCAAAAAGTGTTCCCCGACTGGGACCAAATTAGTCCCAATCAGGGACTTATGTTTAGAATCGGAGAAGGTAGCAGCCCACTCCACTCAGCCGCCGAAACAGTCGAAAGGATGTTATCACCGTGTCTGCTTCCTCTTCACTAAGGCTATATAAGGACCACCTCTTCCTACCCAATTCTTCACCATTTCTTTCCAAATTGCTTCTGAGAGTTAGCTTTGAGTGTGTAGAACGCAGTGGTGCTGTCATCTTTGTGTGAGGTCGCCGGAGCAGTAAGATAGAGTCGCCGGAAGTTTCGCCGGAAAATTTCCAAAACCTTCAATAAGCTTCGAGGTAAGCCCGTAGATATATCTAATGACTAGAATGTTCATATAGGTCGTTTCT